GGGGGCAATATGCTGACTCTGTAAACCGCTTAGAGAGGGCTGAAAGCCCTATGAAGCGGTATATAAGTCTAACTGCTATTGCTATTGCTATATCTCGAGGTTGGTGATGCCCCCCAAGTTTCCCCACACATCGGATGCTCTGCAGGTGGCTTGGTTTGTGGTCCAGCATCCTGGTCCTTTCCCCCACAATCTTCTGTCCTCTCTCTAAGAAACCCCGCCATAGACTCTCTTCCTCACTGTGTGTGCTGCCTTGGCAGGGTAATAAATATGCAGTTGTCCAAATAGACAGCAGTTTGGTATTCAGCGAGGGCTGTGAGCCAAATCAGAGCAGTGTTTAACCTTGCAGGATAATAACGAATGGGCAAAGGAGAATACAGCCACCGAAACCCCTTTCCAGAGGGAATGAGCAGAATCCTGAAATTCAGGAAAGCAAATCAAATGCTCGGGAATGAAATGAGGCAGGGAGTTCCACTATTGCAGAAAAATAGTCATGCTGGGTGCAGAGATTTTCGACGACCGGCAGACAGGAAACCAAGGCAGGTTATGAAAATTTCAGACAAATGAACTAACAGAGAAATCCATAGTATTTTTGAGTTATTTTAGAAGCTTGTCATGTTATATCAGGAATGAGCACTTTGCAGCCTGTGGGCCACATGTGACCTGCAAAACCACATCAAAAGTCTGGGTCCCCCCCCCCCACAACTTGCAAAATATCAGGACAACTGAGCATTAATCCCCAAAGAAGAAGAGTCACCCCTGCCAATTTCAGTGGTGGCTTGCTCACTGAACTACCCAAAACATAATTCAAAATTCTTTTTGGCTCTGTGCTATGCAGTTCATCTGGAATCTTCTCTGGGTAAAGTTTAAAAATATTGTAGCACAGTTGCAAGACAAGCCAGGTTTCAAAGGTTTCTGCAAGCAAGGGACACACTTTCATTTCTGGATCGCTGACAAGTATTATCCTGATTTTCTTGCTTCTCCAGCTAATCGGGAAATGCATTCTTAACCAGTGCTGAGGCCAGAGTAAAGTCAATGAGGAAATCAGATTCGCTTAACAACTTGAAGAAAAGATATAATACCTATAAAATGGGGGGGGGAGAAAAAAAGGAATTTGAGAGTGGTTCCACCACAAAATCGCGTCCGACTAAAGCGCGCTCGACGAAACCGCGTAGCTGACGTCATCAACAGGGCGACAACAGCA